CCAAAACCCCAAAACCCCTACAACTTAATATGGATCTAATAATTGAGAGGTGAATATTTATTAATGTAGAAAATTGAACATTTAATAGTATAAAAAGAAACAAGCATTAATAATCATCAATGAATTTGATTTGAATAATTCACAAGAAGTAGTCTGGTGCTGGTTTTCTACCAGTAGGGCCTCTTGCCTCCTATGGAGCAGCCTCAAATATTTTATAGAATTTAGTTAAGTTTTCATCAAGTTCCAAGATGGCTGCTACATTACCGCATCTGTAACAGTAGTTAGGAGCTGACCACACTGTCACCAAGGTGTCATTAAACATTGACCTATAATAATATAATTAAAAGTTAAAGATGCTTACTTGTAGCCCTCCATAACTAATTGATGGGCTCTGCAAATTAATTCGATACTATTTTAATGATTAAACTTATCTACTATGTCTCCTCCGAATAGATATCCTGCACCTCTTGGGCTTACAGACCAACCAGTAATTTCATCAGGGTCACTCCACATAAGATCGCACATAGCTCCATCATGAGGCACCTCTTACTTTCTATCGATTGCTCTAATCTCATCTAGGGTCTAGATTGATGGTGATAAACCACCATGAACACAAAAGATCTTGTTATCAATAATAGCAGCAAGAGCTAGGTAATCAAAGATCTCTGTGCAATAACGCCAAACATTTACTGAACCATACTTGCGGAGGCACTCGTCGTAGAAACCGTAAACTTATGTGATTTGACGACTTTCATGATTGCCTCTAATTAAAGTGATTCTCTCTGGATATCTGACCTAATACAAATATTGGTAAGAATTAAAAGGATAAATAGGAAAACTTACTTTTAATGCTAGCAATAATAAGAAGGTTTCAACAGATGAATTTCCACGATCTACAAAGTCACCCATGAATAGATAATTTGTATCTGGACACTCTCCTCCAACTTGGAATAGCTCAATCAGATCATGGAATTAACCATGGATATCTCCACAGATCTATAGATAGTATTGAATTTCAAGTTAGTAAATTAAGAATGAATTTTGAAATATTTTCCTTGTGGAGGAAATTACTTCTTAGCCTTTAGAATGAACTTACAGTAACTGGAGATTCAATATTTTGGACATTTGATTCTTAAATCAATATTTCTTTAGCTCTGTTGCATAATGCTTTGACCTCTGATTCTTTGATGTATTCGCATTTCTTGAGCTGCTCAATCCATTGATTAATGTCGAAAGTTTGTTACTTGCTTGCCATTTTGATTTTTATTAATAACTATTTAAATTTCATAGAATTTTGGCAATAAATCCCGGCTTGGGGTTTTGGGGTTTTGGGGTTTTGGGG